ATAAATAAAAATATAAATTCTCAACAAACTTACAATCGGTGAAAAGAAGTAAAAGGAAAAAAAAATTACATTTACTTTGGGAGAAAGAAAGTAATAAAATCTAAATTCATTCCCATGCATGTTGCAAGTAGACGTTTTATTTAACATTATCATTATATACAATCCGACATTTTTTCCTCAAAAATCAAGAACTGGAGTTTATTGGGATTTCGATCCATCATTTGTCTTGTTCAATACCAATACTTCGAGAAAAATTATATATTTAATTAAACCGTGTTTCTTTCAAAACTATCAATAAAGAATATTAAGTATATTTAAACAGAAACATACTTTTTCTTTTTTTGTATATTATTGTAATTATATCTTTAATAAATCATGTATTATTAGTTAACAGTAGTGACTTAATTAATTTTACTCCGAAGTAGTATGTGATTATAAGTCATAGAAAGCTAACAACAGAATTAGAATCACTATAAAACTTAAAATTGCCTTATTCCTTCCATTTCTAATTCCTATTCCTTTTTTAACAATAATCCCTTCACCTCTATAAATTTAAAACTTTACAACTTCTCTAGTTTTAAGGAAAGAAAAAAACTCAAAAAACCTACATACATTCATAAAACCCTGACTAATTTCTCCAATACCATGAAAAATATGGAACTCCAGCGTCATGGACGATCACAAGAGTTGAAAGCTATGGCAACCACTAACTTCAAATTTTCTTCTCGTTTTGGTGCTCTTGTATTTGTCACAGATTTATTTTCTCAATTGCTTGAAGATGAAGAACAGCAGCGAGAAGCACCACCATCGCAACAACAACAACACTCTCTTTCTCCTTCTCCTTCTCGTCCAAACAAGTCAAAAAGAAAAGCGACACTTCCAGTTCGTGCAATTCCACCGCCGCAAGGAACACCGGCACCCCTTCCGGAGGAATTTAGGGAGGTTATGATACGCGAGGGAATGACGGAAGGACCGATATTGTTGATTCAGAAGAGGTTGACAGCAACTGACTTGAAAAAGGTTCAAAATCGGATGTCGATGCCGGTGAAACAAGCGACGGAAGATTTTTTCAAGTTTTTGAAACCCTCGGAAGAAGCCATTGTCAATAGCGAAGCGGGAATGACGGTGCGCCTGATCGAACCCTCACGGGATGTCTCCACCGTGGTTTTCAAGAGATGGAAAATGGAGAAGACAACGGGGAGGACTAGCTATATGTATGTATTCAACGGAAAGGGGTGGGGTGATGTTAAGAACAAGAATGCGCTAAGGGAAAGTGAGGAAGTTCAAGTCTGGGCGTTTCGTGTTGGTGATCAACTTGCTCATGCCCTTGTTAGGGTTCCCTCATGAATATTGTTTTTTTAAATTAACTATTATTAAATTAACACTAGTATGTATAAATTTTTTATAAAATTCAAAAGAAGAAGAAGAAAAGAAGAAAAATAAAAAAGAACTTCTTGGAATCGTACATCAATTTTCATCCCCAAAAGGAGAAGAAGTCTTGAAAATTTTTGGTCTGTTTGAGGGATTCTTTTGATTGGGATATATATGTAAATAATTACATAGAAGCAAAAAGTAAAAATCACTGATTTTTCACAATTTTAAACATTTAACTGAAGTGAAATACATTAA